GTTCAGAGCAAACTTTCAAGTTTAAAACCGCTTAAATAAAAAAAAAGTCAGTTCAGAAGGAGAAACATATGTGAGAAATGCTTGCAATACTTGAGAGATATTATACTGATATCGCATCCGTTGGTAGATGTCATTTTTAACGACTAGTATTGCAGACGTCGCCTCCGGCTATGTCTGTAAATCTGACGTTCGTCAAAGATGTCGTATCCCAACTATTACGTGAATATACTATTTTGAAATCCAGTTCTACGAAATAAGAATTCTAGTACCGCATCTTGTTATTTTCCATGTCGATATTCAAAAAAAATCACACACTAATGGAAAATTTCGACTGAAAACCCTTGTTCTCGATAAATTGGTTATTGAAAAATCATTTGTCAATTAATTCAGAATCTAATTTAAGAGGTAACCAAATGCCGCCCATTTTTTAAATTTTTGAAGAAATTTCCTGCTAAGTTATCTATATTTTAAAAAATTTAAGCACATTGCTCTTCAGGAGGCGATAATCAAGATTAATGTGCTTTGGGTTTGAAAAATATTCGTAACTTTGAGCAGAAAATTTGTTTGAAGAATTTGAGGTAACAGTAGCCTTCTGGTATCCTTCAGAACGATATTTTCCGAATAAATGCCAGATTTGAAGTTTTCACGAAAATCAATTCATTCCTTGTATATGTTTAATAAAACTTGATCGTCTTAAATTTGCAATATGAATCAAAAATTTTGTGAATAATGTCCCTTCAAATCCAAGTTAAGATCGTTATCTTGAAACTTTACGACATTTATTAATTTAAAACATGTAACTATCAATTAATTAATAGGAAATTTCTAACAATGTACAAACTGATTATTTATAAATATTTTTGTAGATTAATTTTAATGAATAATAAATATGAAAATTTTTCTGCAGGAAAACTTTTTATTCTATCTCAACATGAAGGTACCTCTTCTATCGAAGTCTTCCTAAGCATTAAAAAAATCCAATAGAAGTTCTAGTTTCCCATAGAAAAAAATTTCCTACAAAAACGGTTTCTACGGAAAACCTACGAATTCTTCGTAGGATTGGTCTACAGAATTTCCAGTAAGACAATTTTTTTTTCATTATTAAAACAAGGCCAGAGATATTTTTTACACTCGATACTGCTTCTTGCGATAAACATTTTTAGGTAAAGGAAAATATTCAATAGAAAATCAAGGGCGTTCACTCAAAAATCTGTTCTGACTCTATGAAATTTCTATTACAAATTCTATTCCTTTTCTTGCCGATTCCTATTTTAATTATACCATTTTAATTGATAGAAGAAAATTAATGAATGTTGATTTTTCTATATGACTTATTCTGTTGAGTTTTTTTCCTAGCGTATATAACCATTTTTGAATGAATTTTCTCACGTTCTTAAAATTGAATTTTGTATTGAGAAACAAAATACAAAAAAATACAGAAAAAAACGGAAAAAAATTATCCGCAAGAATTTCGTTAGACAAAAAACCAAGAGTTATGCAAAAAAACATAATTTATTAATGTTTTTGCACAAAGGATTCAGGATTTCAATCGAATTCTAATAAAATTCCAGTCGAATTTCCTCGCCAATAGAATTTCTACACCAATACTTGTACGAAATATTGTCAATCTAATACTGAGAAGCAATTTATTACTCACAATAATGCGCCCACTGATCTGTCCTAAATGATTCTTTAATTGAATGAATTCGTCACAAGAAGAATGATTCTCGAATCAAGAATGCATTGTTCCAGATAGTAAGTGGTAATAAGTCAACTTCGAAATTTCCATTGTTCACGTATGAAAAAATTCAATAGAAAATCTAGTGAATTCGGTAGAAAATTCTATAGGAATTCTATATGAATTCGGTGGGTTTTCTATAGGATTTCTTTTGGAATTCTATTGAAAAATTCTATTTGGTTTTTGCGCTGATTCTATTGGATATTCGATAAGAAAAAGTCAACAGATTTCGAATTTCTGTTTAAATTTTTCTCTTGAGATTTTTTCTATGAGGATGCTTGGGCATCAATTTTCTAAGTTTTTTCCACTTAGATTCTACAATGCGAAACAAAATGCAGTGGAAAAAACTTTGTGCCCGATATTTCTAATAGAAAAAATTTAAGAGAAAAATTCAAATAGAAATTCGATATCTATTGACTTCTTCTTATTGAATATCCAATAGAACCAGCACAAAAAACAAACAGAATTTTTCAATAGAATTCCAATAGAAATCCAATAGAAAACCCATAGAATTCCAATAGAATTTTCTATCGAATTCGCTAGGTCTTCTATTGAATTGTTTCACGCGTGTTGCCTCATCAATCTCTTGAAACGAGTGACTTTATGCCGGACAAATAGTAAAATATCCCACGCAAAAAGTATTTTTTATTGAACTACAGTTTCGCTCCACTAAATTACCCTTCGTATAGTAAAATTTGCCGCGATTTTCCAGATAACTTATATTCAACTTTTGCCTCCTTATAGCAAGATGTGATGGATTGAGTTGTTATGTTCACTTTCACCACTTTACGACTGATTCCTATCAAAGTCAGTTTTTTCCCCCAGTGATACAAACAATGATGAACAGTGCTGGTGGTAGTGGAGAGAACGGGCCACTAAAACGAATAACGTGCGAACATATGAGGTTGCTCGTGAGGTTATAACATGTACAGGTATACAGAGGCATCGCACGGGGCAAGCGAAGTGTGACAAAGATAAAGAGACAACGTAATGGCGACGTTAATATATAGTTCAACTACTTGGGGAGAAACAGATAGAAGTGGTTACGGCCGTGGAGTGCCTCAAGTTGGCACTCGAAGCGGCGTGAGAAAATTTTTCGATGCCATTCTGGTGAGATCAACATGAACATTTATGGGTTTAGTTGTTGAATAATGTGAAAGTTTTGTGCAGTATTATATTCAGTAGTGAAGGAGCAAAACAATAAATTCAATTTGGCAGTTCTGTTAATTGTGGTCAACTTGAAAACCACAGATAGTGATACAGAAACCGAGATAGTTTGTACTCCACAGGGTGGGAAAATCAAATCGTCACTTCACTACTGAATTTTCTTGTGAATTTATAATTTTTGAATCTTCATAAACGTTAAAAATCAATTGGAAAAATTTATAATCTAGGTGAAGTGAAAGAAGCAGACAAAGACAGTGATTAAATAAAAGATAAATATCTGTAATCAGTGGTAATAAAATAGAGTGAAAAAATAGTGAAGGGGTGGGGAAAAGGAGATGAGTTCACAACAAACGTTTATTATTTATTAACTTTTCTACTAGAGAAAGTTCTAGAGGAATTCATCAACAGACTTCTCATTACTTCATTATTTTTAGTTCATTAATCATCTCAAAGATCGATAACTTTAGGAAAAAATGTTGGAAGATTTTTTTGTTTAAAATTTTGTCTTCAACAAAAAAATCTTCTGATGGTATTTGTTTCTGAGATAATTTCCTGATTTGTACAATTTTTTTCAATAGAATATACGAGGGGCTACTCACTTCCGAAATATCACGGCGCCACTCTGGCATGAAATCATTTCGAAATCACTCCGAAATTTCATGAAATCACTGAAATTAAGTGATTTCCGCTCTCCGAAATCATCTTTGAAATCACCTGAAATCGTCTGAAATCAATGAAATCACTGAAATCAGTGGCGCACTGGTGTAGTGCGAACCGTGCAAGTAATTCGTGATTTTGAAATTGACACGCCTGCCAACGATGATAATAAAATGCCGTACTCACTGCCATAATAAAATGGTAAAATGGACGACTTTTCATCGTCATTAACTCAAACTTAGCCGAGTGAAATCAAACGAATTCGTTATTAGTTGCCAGTTATTATTGCCAGTTTTGTTTTTCATAATTTGACACAACTCGTTTTGCCCCACCTCTATTATTTATTGACTTTATTTTTCTGAAATCACTGATTTCTAATTTTTGAAATCATGAAATCAGTAGCAAAGTGGTAAACCGGGTCAAGACGATTTTGACTTTTAGCCAGCTTTTGATGAATATCTCGGAATTTAAGAGAGATAACAAAATTTTGCTCATGACGTTTTTTATAACTCTCAATTGGGTCTACAAAAAAGGTTTTGACAAAAAATTTTCTATCTTTTTTAGATTCCGAGATATTCGACGAACAGTGGCCAATAGTCAAAATCGACTTAATCCAGTTTACAGCTTCGCTACTGAAATTACCTCCCGTGGTGCTGGAGATCACCGAAATAATTTTCTCCGAAGTCACTGGAATCACTCGAAATCGACTTCATTTCGAAATCATGGTGTCATTTATGGAGTGAGTAGCCCCTCGAGAATACACATTAATATCAATTGTTATCTATCACGATAATAAATAATCTGAGGAAAAATCATGGATCTTCTCCGTGCAAACTTTTATTCTCTATAAAAGGGCGTTTTCTTCTAGTGCCACTTTATCCAGAGAAATTTTCAAATTAATGGATACAAATTTGTGAAACTCATCTCCTCTCACCACTTGGCTACAAAACAGTTGATAGTTTTGAAACTTTGAAAGGATTTCTTTGTTTTCTAAACAGTGTCCTCGCGTTTACCTCGTGACATATCATCTCCGATAGACTCTATATTGTTTATATGTATAATGATGACACAGAGGCAAGTATCTAAAGGGTAGATAAAGTGAATGATGCTGCCTAGAACTCCATGATGTATGACAATTATCTTAAACCACGATAATAATACCGTAAAATAATATTGAATTGAGTCGTACTAATGATATCATTCTCGTATCTCTGGGATATTCGGAAGCCAATGCACAGCGCAAAAAAAATTCACTACTGTTTGCAAGCTTATCTAATTCACAAACAATCAGATGAGGCGGCTCGAATTACAAGATGTACAGTTACGCATCGCGAGTTATTTGATTTATCTTTCTCCAAAAATGATCTCGACTAAATTAGTAAATTATCGATATCGGACAGAGTTACATTATTACACGGGAATTAGAATGCTTAAGGACCTGCTTCTGCGCCATGGACTGCATCTGCTGGAACATGATCCTCTCCTCCTCTTTTCCTGAAACAGGAGAAAAAGCAACGAGAAGCTCGCGAGATTGTTACGAACAAGTTAGGTTTTTTGACACACAGAAAAACCTAAACGTAAATTACGTATTGCCAATCGTAATTTACGGTTAACGCTGATATGTTGGCTGATGGCTTTTTTTCGTCATGAAAAACGGAATTTAGGTTTTAAAAAAGCGTATTTTACGGTCAAAACCAAAAGTAAATTACGGTTAAAAAAACCTATTTTACATTTCAATAAGTATGTTTCACACTTATTGAACTACTTTATACTACAAAAGTAAATTGCGCTTTAAAAAACATATTTTACATTTCAATAAGTGTATTTTACGCGTAAGAAATCGTAAATTCCACTGAGAAAAAAATTATACTTTTGCCAAGGAATTAATTTCTTGGGAGAAGAATGGAAAATTTACTCAGTTAGCTTGGATCTACATTACACGGAGGGAAATTTTTGAGAAAAATTACCGTACCGTTCTATAAAAGTGTATCATGAGTCATCGTTTCCTCATTTCTGTCCCGAAATTTACTAAAAATTAATATATGATGAGCAAATTTTAGAGGGCTTCGCCCCCCCCCCCCCAATTTGATAATAGTCTCTTCACTGCACTAGAGATTCTTTTATGTAATCGTAATTTACGGTGATTTGAGGGTAGTTTACGCTCCAACTTCACGCGTAAAATACGCTTCAGAAAGCGTAAAAGATGACTTCTTAGATATAATTTACGTTTAGGTTTTTCTGTGTCAATGATTCTTATGAATTATTTCGATAATCAGTGAGTTGAAAAAAAATGTTAAGACTTTCATTTGCACCAGAGAGGTATTATTCAAACCACGAATTAATGGAATAATTCCAAAAATATAATTTTTCAACACTTGTGCGTAAAGTGAAAATTCCACTTTCCACACATTATGATGAAAAATGAGGTCCGACACTTATGGGAAAAATGTTCTTTGACCCTTGGGCCGGTAGCACTCGTCTTTGGCTAGCACTACATACCTTCCACGGGTTAAAAAAAATTTTTACGCACTCGTATCGAAATATACTATTTTGATGATGAGTAATTCTGTGATTAGATCTTTTATAGAAAACTTTATGGGGATGTCAGAATACATTTTCTATAGGAAATGTTCTCAACTATGAAAAAAAAACTTTGATATTCCCACTGAAGTTGAATGTTATTTTTTATTAATATAGTTAATTTGAATATTTCGTCATGAATAAGCGCTTTTGATGCAAAAACGAACTCTTTTTGAGTACAAAATGAAATTAAAAAAAATGCATTTTGACTTTTGGTCTCAAGGTGTTTAATTGCCAGGATGCATCAGCAATTTTGGGATTAATTGGATGACAAAACTGCTCAAACTTATTTGTAAAAGTTTTTTTCATCCACAAAGCAAGTCTCCTGACATTTTCTCCATCAATGAGAACTACAACAGTGAAAAATTCTTCAAAAAATTCTAGATCTACTATGAGAACAGAATTCCAATACTGATACTGGAAATTTTATTGGGTTGTATGTGGATTTTCCTTACTGATATGAAATTTTCTGCCGCAGTGCCCCGAGTGCCCCAAAATTGTTGAAAACGAAAGGGGGATTCTATTGCAAAACTTATCCTGATCATTGATATGCAGGACAACTTGAGAAAAATTTTCTACAATTTAGGAGCACAAAGAGCATTCAGTTAGATTATTCCCCCGTCGATTCCCCCCATGTATATTTCGATCGATAGAAATGTATCATTCGACGCTTTTGAGGCTGAAAGCAATATCCGTACCAAAATTTGATTTATTTTAACAGGAAATTTTCTTTCAAGGATCCCATGCGACAGAATAGAAATAACCGAAAATTATCGTTGCATAGCAATGAGAGGCGCAGCGGGAGGGATTTTACTGCAAAACTGATCCCGATCGTTTATATAGTTTAGGAAAACTTGAGGGAAATATCCGATGAATTTTGAAGGTCGAAGGGTATTCGGAGGACAATTTCTTCAATTCTGATTTTGGCCGATCAGAGTGCAGTGTTCGGGGTTACGGGACATATTTCACCAAAATGTGAGGAATATCTGTCAAATTCGTAGAAAACAATTGACAGGCTACAGGGAAATTATCAGTAGTAATACCCTGAGAGCTTAAAAATGATCGGGTATTTCCCGATAGCTTCGTTGCAAAAAAACGAGTGTCAAGTTTTGTAGGTTTAAAAATTTTCCTACAAAACTTGATACGATCGTTTGTTTGCAGAGAAGGTTGAGGGAAATACCCGATGCATTTTGAAGCTCGAGGGGTATTTGGAGGAGTATTTCCTCCATCGGAATTTCGGTCACTGGAGGGCAGCATTTGATGTCAATGTGGTACAACCTACACTTTCGCATTTCAATTATTTTGTTTATTCTCCCTTAGCGACGTGCCGTGGTTTTACCAAATTTTACCGATATAAAACCATGTAGGTTGTACCACGTGACATCAAATGCGGCCCTCCTATTGGCCGAGATTCCGATGAGGGAAATACTCAGTCTAATAATTTCCCTACAGCCGGGGAAATTATCAGTGTGAAACGCGTCACGTAACCCCGAATACTGCACTCTAATTGGTCAAAATCAGAGTTGAGGAAATTGTCGAAACAATTTTACCCTCACTCCTCTGCGAAACGTCAAATACAGAATTTTTTATTGGTTGAAATTCAGGTGGGGCATAATCACAGAAATTCCTAATAATTTTTCCAGAAATTTTTACAGTTTTTTATTAACACTATACTGGGAGAAAAAGAATATTTTCTCAAACAAGTCTTACTTGAAATATAAAAAACTCGTTAGTTGAAAATTATAATAAAAATAAATCTAGTGCGAAAGATTTGAAGACTGTCCAGAGATGAAAAATTTATATCGCAAAAATAGATTTAGCAGTTCCAAAAACTGTTTACCCGCTGTGCAAGGAAGAAATATCCTTTCTAGCAGTACTACCTCGTTGTTTAGTACTTTCATACGTATTTTATTCCCGAAAAATATTTCTTTTACGAAAAATAAGAGAAAGCGTAATCACCGGCAATAAATGAACCCTCAAAGGAAAAAATAATGAAGACATGATAGTAATCTTGTAACTTAGGGATAAAATATTTCTTGATGAACGTCCCTCTATTATCATTCTGAAAAAACACCGTCTCATATGAATAATCCATCTTTCGAGTCAAATGTTTCGTTGTTGTTGAAAGCAGAGCAATTACACGGAGAAAAAAATACCTGAAAAATTACTGTGCTTGCACGTTAAAACGGGTTCATTTGGACGGACCCGGAAAAATTCCCGTCCCAGCACCGGAATTTTTTCTGCGCGCTACAGGGATTTTTCTAGGATTTATTTATTATGATTTATTATTATTTATTGTTATTTATTATTATCTATTATTATTTATTATTATTTATTATTATTTTTTATTTTTTATTATTATTTATTATTATTTATACTTAGTAATATTTCTGGTATTTGTTTCTCCGTGTATAGTAGAATCCCATCATAGTCGCACGCCTGGGGCTGTAGGGGCAGCTGATTCGGCAAAAGCACATGTATTTCCCCATCCCTACCATGCATCCAGTTTTTTTGAACATTTACTATCAGAGTGTCTTACGTAATTACGATCTTCTGGAAAGGCAAAACAATAGCCCGTCTAAGAAAACATCGATGTATTTATATTCATAAGTCGGAATTCTTAAGGAGTGGGGGACGTCTTCACGTTGGCGAGAAAGCGATCGAGGGGAAATGCGACTATAACGAGAGTCTACGGTATTCATATTTGAGATCTTCTAATTCGAATCACGCCATTTCTTCTTTGGTAATTTTCAATTAGCGAGTTTTTCGGCCCAAGCAAGACTTGTTTGAGAATTTATTAGTTCTTCTCTCGGTGTAGAATTTTTCATCGTCATCGGCAGATTGTGATTTTTTCAGTGCTCGCACTCGAATTGTTCTAAAAACCTTCTCTCCGTGTATTTGACTTGAATATAACTCTTTTTAACCCTTAAGTGGTGGCACAATAAGGGAATCCCCGCCGCTTTTTCATTTTTTCTTTTTATACAAAAACTTCGTGAGTGAAAAATCCATAAAAATTTCTATTGCAACTTTCAAATATCAGTAGCAAAGCGGTAAACCGGGTTAAGTCGATTTTGATTTTTGGCCAGTTTTTGACGAATATCTCGGAATCTAAGCGAAATAGAAAAATTTTTGTCACGACCTTTTTTGTAGGGTCAACTGAGGGTTATAAAAAAGGTCATGAGCAAAATTGCTTTTAGTCTTAGACTCCGAGATATTCATAAAAAAGGGGCCAAAAGTCAAAATCAAACTTAACCCGGTTTACCGCTTTGCTGCTGATATGTGAAAAACATCACCATCTGCTTCACGAGTCAGACTTACACCAATGAATTATTAAAATCTTCTGAAAACTCGACTCGCTGAAAATTCCGATGTTTAACCTCGAAATTTCATAATTTTGCACTTGTTCAAATCGAGTTTGTGGATTATCTGACAACAATTTCGCTTCCATACCCCCATTTCCTATTCATCTAAAGTTCAAAATTACCTATGAATGTGGAATAAATTTTTTTGTTCAACTTTTTTTCCTCGAAATCGTAAAATCCACGGAGCGCGGATTCACTTACAGTGCGATCCACTACGTTCGGTGGGGAGTTGCGACCACTTAAGGGTTAAAGACTGAATTTATAACGCCACTGTAGACTCAAAGAGGCGTAAATGTCATGCACTGAGAAAAAAACCTATTTTTGCAAAACATTCATTTACTTCAGAGAAGCATTTATTTTTACAAAATCGTATTTTTCCTATTGACTCATGCTCAGGTGAGCCTGAATAGGTTTCAATTATGACGATTATGTTGCTCTAGAGGATGACTACGTTGCATTTGACAATGGATGAACTCCTCTAATGATTATTCATTTTTCCTAAATTTCTTATTTTCTAGAGGGAAGAATTTTGATTAATTTTTGAATGTTGAT